GCGCACACAATGTGTGAGAGGGAGAACACAAAAAAACAACATGAAGAGGTGAAGGATTCTGACACGGCGTCTCTGTGGGGTCTCTGTCTGCCAAAATACCAGAAGAAAATGCCGCCGCCCCGTTTTTAAAATATGTTCTCTCCCTTAATCCACTGTAGCGTCTGGAGTTTGGATTCTCACGAGGTGCCGTTCGCATTGGACGGCAAAGCGGGCGGCTGTTTTATTGTGTTTCTCGAGCTCATCGTCAATCGGCAGGAGGGCGATTTCGACGGGTGCCGTTACCCGTAAAACCCCAAAACAGGAGTTCAGTGCGGCCCTCGCGTTGAAGTGTTAAAGGTCGACTCGCCCGTTTAGTTGCAGAACAGGTGTGTAATCACTAAAGACGGAGCTGCACCCATCTATTCACCTCCTCCACAGCCCCCACCCCACCTACAAGCACCACCCGTGTGACCTGACGGCGAAGACGGCCGACCTTCCAAGACAGAAACATTCGTTTGTGACTGCTGCCGATTATTTAAGCAGCAAGAATAAATATCCATGAAATTCCTGTTTTCTTGGTGCTTGAGCAGCATAAACCCGAGATGACATTTAGTCCCATTAAATACGCGAGAGGACAAACTTCTCCACGGCCGATGTCTCCAAAACTAGGCGACTGGCACCCGAGCGGACTGATAAACGCGAGCCGCCCCTTTAATCTGCGAGCAGAGGAAAGCAGCGATCACGAGCAATCTTTAGGTAAATGAATGTGTGTGTGTGTGTGGATGGCATTTAATCTCCCCAGCGTTAATTAACAGTAATTAAGTCAGCCAAAGCTGTAGTCAAATTAAGTCAAAGTTAAGCTACGGCAAATACTGAGGGAAGTACACACGGAGCATGTTGCTGCAGCGCCGCTATAATTCCAACGCGCCTTAAACTGGACTCATAAAGACCTATAATTTACAGCACGGAGTCTATTCTTATGATAAACTCTGGTCTCCCGGCGGGGAATGTATTTACACTCTTTTTTTTTTTTTTTTTTTACGAGTCAGCCGCGAAACTTTTTTGTTCTTTGGTGCCGTTACTGGAGGTTTTGATTGCAAAATGAACGCACACAGGAACGAAAAAGGCCGGGCTAAGCATTTTCTGACAACACCGTCGGCCCCTAAAAAAAAAAAAAAACAGAAGAAAAGAGGAAAATACAGAGGAGAACCGGCGGTTTGTATTTACATATATACTGCGTTGACCACAATGAATAAAACAGCAGCGAGCCAGCCTCTCCTGGGTCACCTAATAGCAACTTTCAGCAGCAGGCCATACATAAACATTGTCTCTCTAAATAATAATGTGTGCCAGTGGATCGGCATCATTGCATCTGGTTTCTTTTTGCTCTCCTTTATTATGTAAAACTACACCTCAGAATACATGTGAGCTGTGCACTAATCCGCTCTCTTTCCACCTGGTAAATTCGACCCAAATTCACATTTCCCCCGTGCGGTTGAGGGGGACTGTTTTTTTATCGAAGCCATGCGTAACGGAGACCACTCACTCGGCTGTGTGCTTTGGCTCACCAGAGGGAGAGAAGTCATTTTGAGGACATTAATAGTCTCAAACTCGGCCACTGAGTGTTTGTTTCGGAGACAGACGTTTCTCTGGTAGATATGAATTCGTACCACCGACGCGGCTCCTTTTATTACAATGCCGGAAAAAGTGAGGCTCTAAAAATAGGCAGAGTGTTTGGGCGGAATAAAAGCTCCTACTCGCAGTACAATATCATGTTCAAAAGAAGAGCTGCATGGGGGCTGAACTTTAGAAACTGAGGAAAATGTAACCATAAACTTGCATCCAGCTGAGCAGATCATTTTCCTTCCAGTACATCGATTGTTGTGAAATTACAGCAGAAATGTCACATGATATTTAGAGGCGGAACGACGGAGCTCGGGCGGCACATTGGATATCACACGTGACGCGTGCAGAAAGGACACAGGTACACGTTGCACATTTTGTGAACCATTAGTGCGCCGCGTTGCTTCGGGCTGATCAGAGGCGAGATGGCTTCTTATCGTAGCGTCCGATCGTTCGAAAAATCGACCTTTGAATCTCTTCTTCGGTGTCTGGTCTCGATTTGTAGCAGAAAAATACTGTGCTGAAGCGGGAACATTGATGTTTTTTTTTGAGGAGGAGGGAAGTGTGTTACATTTTGCTCCTGTAATACGACCGTATATCAGAATCCAATTTGGTCCTTTTTCATCGTGAACAACCAAGGAGGCGCGGCGGGCCTCAAACACGAAGCCACCGCCGAGGCTACAAAATACTTATTTGCATCATGGACGACTTATTCAGTTCAATGGCGAGCATCTTTGGAAACTGTGGAAAACGTATTGCACATAAATACATTTGTGTTATTTTTTCATTCATCGAGAAGCACAATGCCCAGTAACAAAAAGACGTGTACCGTCCTTCAGGACAAGTTAATGGCTGTATTGCACCCTGTGGTGTTTCTAATCTCCTATTAAAGTGACATCTTTTCAGTATGCAGTTTAGAGAAGTGTTTGTTTCCTGGTCCACCGAGGCTTTGCTTAAAGAATAAATCACCATTCACAGTACACATACTATAAGTGAATATAAGGCAACGGCTGCAATTATCTGGATATCGATGACAGCGGTGCTGATCTGTTCCATTCAGTGTTCAATGCATCGTGCTCCTAATTCCTTCAGTTTTGACCATTTCGCTGCCGCGTTAGAGCGATTTACCCTTGAGGCAACACTCGGGGAAAGCTTCAATAATGTTCCCAGTCTCTACCTCACAGTGAGGCATGCTGGGTATTAATTAATCGGGAATGAAAGATAGCGGACGGCGAATAATTGAATGGTTTAAAACTTCCACTTAGACAAATTGGACAACTGTTTTTGCCCCAAATGCCTCCGGTTTGTAATTGTTTTCCAGTCCAGCTGACACTCTGTGATCCAACTTCAGAACTTCTATTTCCATTGTGAAGGACAGACAACACACCTGTTAATTCCAGCTGCAAGCAGTGTTGCCGTTCCTATTTAAACGTGCACAGATGCTAAGCCTCTAGCTCCTTTTCTCTAATGACTTCTTCTGTTCTCATCTGAAGGTGTGAGATACGGGATGCAGATCATTAATGTATCAGCAAACACTTATTTAATATGTGAAGATACAGATACAAGTATTGTCCACCGGAGCAGAGAATGAAGAGCTCTGCCTCCGGGGATCTCGTTATCTGAGTGTCTACTCGCGTTTTTTGGCATGAGCCGAGCTGGCCGTGCACGCTTTTAGTGTGTGTGTGTGTGTGTGTGTGTGTGTGTGCGTGCGTGTGCGTTCGGCCGCTTTGCACCGACCCACGCGGCGGTCACAGCCGGCCGATGTGGCGCCCACCCTCCACTTCCCGCTAGCGCGTGCGCCGCTAGCGCCGCTAGCTCCGTTAGCCGTCGCCATGTCGAGAGCCGCTGAGAGGCAACGGTTGGTTTGACCTTTCAACCGTTGCGATGGACGTGTCCCTTCGCGGCCTGTGAACTGCGAGTGTGGTTGAGCCACCGCACCTCTCCGGTCTACGTGCAGAACTAGACGCCTCGGCCAAACCTTCCCACAGAATAATGTGTCTTTGTAAAAGAGCCCTGTCAACATCCTCAAAGCATGAAAGGCCATTCAGAGCCGTCCTTTAAGCCTTTTCACCAAGGCCTTTGTCGCAGGTTATTTAAAACCTTTAAAGGACAGTATATATGCCCCGTATAAGGGGGGGGGGGGGGGTATAGTCGTGAAAATTATATTCATAAATCCTTCATGCACTTGCAGAAATATACATTGTTGAGAATTTCCATCTAAAGCGCTATGTGTCCAAAAAGCTCACGTGATTTAGAAGTTTTGTGTGAATATGACTGCTGGATGAATATGACCTTCAGGAATTCTATTCAAGCATTTCTATCCGCGCTCTACATCCAGCGTACTCGCTGGCTAGCTATGTTGTACATAACGAAGACGGATTCTTTCTTACACGCTATTCATTGACTCTTTCCACAGTGTAAAAATCACCCAAACGATACCAACAAACAGCTTAAGTATTGTTTAGTTATTGTTCATTAAATAAGGCACAATCTCTCTGACGCGTTAGTTTATTGGTTGAATGTTGTACGTGAACAGGCCTGCAACAAAGCACTATTTTAATTTTCAATTATTATTATTATAATTATTCTGCCAATATTTTTCAGCTGTCGTTTGATTAATAGAATCACAGACGATAATAAAAAGGTGTAATCGCATTCCCCAAACGACATCTTGCTGGGCTTGCTATGTCTGATCGACACTACAAACACCAAAGGTACTGTGTTTGTTGTCAAGTGAAAACTGTGAAAAGTGAGAAGCTGAAACATCAGAATGTTTCACTTTAAAGGATCGATCAATATCAGAGCAGCTGCGGATTCATTTTCTGTCATTTGACTTATCAATCAGCCGACTTCTTCTCTCCGCTCTGCTTCACTCGCCTCTACTTCGCTCAGCTCTCATATAATGGCTGCAAGAGGATTTTCTAAGTGCAGACGGGAGGATTAACCTCTCTGATAACCTGACCCTGTTCCAGAGTTCTTCTTGTTAAACAAAGGCGCCCCCTCCCCCCCCCCAAAAAAGTGTTTTTCTGATCCCCTCGATGCATTCTGCTCCACCTTTATACAATAACAAACCAATAGCAACAAGCCCTTCAGCTTCATGGGGTAGTCATCGGTGCAGATAATGAATGGCCGTGCACCTTTTTGTTGCACTGATTGAACTGCAGGGCATCCTGATTGAAACACGGTGCATCACGTGATCCCTTTAAGCTTGTAGGGGACACGTGCGCGAGACAATTTCTGTTGTATTCACCTCGCATCATTAGCACTAACGTGGGCTGTCATGATTAGCACCGCGGATCCCGTCCACCTCCCGAGCCGAGCACTACGCTCCGGGTATTGCGCGCCGCCCGCCAGGCTGCTGCAGAGACGCGGAGGCTCTCCCCTTAATCCGATGCCGCGCGCCTCCGTTCGCCTCCAGTCCGGCCGAAGCAGCGACTGTCTGCGCGGCGGGCGGATGAGCAGCAGCCGGCAGAAGCAACCGAGAGCCAGACGCGACCACGAAGTCACAGCACCGCTTCCCCCCCGGGGTGTGTCTGCGAGGAACCGGGCCCCTCCCGGGACGCACTTGACGAGCCCGGACTTCGCACTATTTCTTTTAATTTTTTATTGTTGTGTTGTTTGCGCGGTTGAGACGCGACACGCAACTCGTCTCCTTGAAGTGATCCTTCTTTTTCTTTTTCTTTTTTTGGTTTATGCGGTGACTCCGCACGCACCAGAGGACGAAGCAGGAGGTGGAGGAGGAGGTGGGAAGGAGGAGGGAGTTTCGGTGGTGGAGGTTTTTGAACAGAGCCCCTCGTCCATGGAGCTATCGGTCCGGTCCCGGGCGCTTCGCCCCGGAGAGGAGCAGCTACCTGCCCCGGGAAGCCCCGCCGTCCGCCCGCTGTGAAGAAAGTGGAGCACGCAGCCGAGCCCCGGCCGTCCTTGTGAGAGCCGCTGCTTGTAGTTTCTTGGGGGGGGGGGAAGGAAGAAAAATAAAATAATACGGGAGAAGAGGAGGAGGAGGAGGAGGAGGTAGGGGGGCTCCTGGTGCTGATCCGAGACTCACACCCGATGCCCGGGATCCATATTTCTGCACGGCGGACCACAGTAAGTAGCCTTCATCCAGGCGGATGTTTGGGGTCTTTCGGGGGGGGGGGGGAGGGGGATGTCGGGTTGTGCCTCGAATCGATGCCGTTTATTTACGGTACCACGAGGCAAACGTCAGAAAACGGGCCCGCGGCTCCTCCGGCAGGTCCGAACTGTTGATGAGACGCAGACGTGGTCCACAGGATTCGCTGCGAATGCGCAGCCTCCGGACTTCTGACTAATATGAAGTTCCTCGGCTGTCAGTGTGCTTTTAATTCATATGTATATCAATGCATATACTTTGTGTGCAGGATGCACATTGAGTCATGCTCATAGAGGTGACTTCAGCTGCAGCAGATCATTGTCACTGGATATGAGTGAGAAGCTTATTGGGAGTTGGATATTTAGCTCGATAACACGGCGGAGAGAGAAAAGAGCTCACACAAACATCTCCACCCGGGGAGCTAAGTAGTTGGATGTCAGTTGCTGCCTCCATTTACTTCCCCATTTTGCGGCTGTAAAATAAGATCATTTCGCAGGGCATGTATAATTCACAGACCTGAGCCGGCCATGTGTGATGATGGAGCGCGCACACACACACACACACACACACGCATGCACGGTGGAGTTTTCTACAGGCGAAGGCAACCATATCTAATTCTCACGTGAAGCTCTTGGGGGGGCTTCAGCAAGAAACCTCAGGAGGGCGCGACTGTGGCGGGGCGAAATATCAAAGGTTAAGCAACATTTGCACACAATCCATACCGTCGATGCCAAATGGGGATCCTGCTGCAGCCTTACGTAAGTGGCTGAGTTACCAGCTTGCCCACTTACACACGCGAGGCCTCTTCTCCAAACCCAGTTGTTTTCCAGACATCAAAGCGCTCGGCGAGACGGCTTCGGCGTCTGAGAGCTGCAGCGTTACATAAGACGAGAAATTTTCGGGATGGACTCGATGAAGGAATAAGTCTCCTCGGCCACTGGATGGTGTGTGTGTGTGTGTGTGTGTGGCTGCTTGGTGCACCCCCACCACCCCCCCAAAACGAGCCAGGAACGGGACGCTTTTCTCTTGAAACAAATGCTGGTACAGCAGGTTGTAAGAATTTTGAAGGAAAAAAAAAAAGAGGTGGGGTCGGGGTGGGGGAGCCAAATGTTCTTCTTCCTCCTCCTCCTCCTCCATCTCTCACCCCCTCCCCCCCCAGAACGTGGCCGGTTGGGTCCTTTGTCTGTGGTGTCCTGGGAGGAAGTGGGCGCTCATCTCACATTTGCACAATGGTCTGAATGCCTCCCGTGTGAGTTCTAGCCGCCTTTTTGTAACCGCCAATTTCCTTATCAAATGTCTGCATTTCCATGGGGAGAACTTCAGCCACCAGCCCCCTTCCTCCAAGCCGCTTTGTCCCGATACGGTGCTGCTGCTGGTGCTGCTGGTGGACTGTGTGAGTGTGTGAGTGTGTGTGTGTGTTGGGAGCAGCTTCAGCGTGGATCGGGAGGATTCATCTAACGCCGCGCCGTTGGACGCCGCCCAGACGCGGTCACGTTAAAGAGATTTTATTCCTGTTCCAACGTTTGCCCCACTAGTCCTCCACAAGAGCAGAACAAGGAGCTGAAACCCCAATGTTATTTTTATTTTTTCTAAATAACTATAAATCTGTTTTGCACATTCTGACTGGTATTTTTTCTCCCCCGTGTGAATTTGCTCTCGGTGGGAGTAGATGTTGGGACGGGCGACCCGCAGCACCTCGCCGTGTCTGATTGTTTTTCTGTCGCAGAGATAATATTTATTTCCCATTCTGTGCAGCTGTTGTTTGTCAGCGAAGGAATGCGGCAAGACTCTTGTTTGTTTGTTTGTTTGTTTCTGATGGGTTTCTTCTCCGTCTTCATGACCCGCGGCCCGATGTTCCTCTCCGTCTTCATGGGGCAGGTCCGACGCGTCCACACCAGCGAGACACAAAGACGGGCCTTTGGAGGCGGCCTCTCACCACAGGTTGGTAGGGAAGGAACGCAGAGGAATCTAAATACCATTGAGAGCTCGACCGGGGGGGGGTCAGAGGCCCCCCACTCGCTCCCCCTTCACGGTCCCCCCCCCCCCCCCCGCTCACCGGGTGATAACTCGAGCCAACTGGAGGCCGAACCCGCTTGCAGGAGAAAGCTCGCTCCTTCTTTTGTCCGGACGAAAATAACACGCACGAAACCCCCGAAGAAGAAGAAGAAGAACACAGGCCACAGTGGGGGGTTTGAGTCCGGAGAGCAGGAAGTGAGGGGGGGCGTGTGAGAGGGGGGGCTTCACCTGCCATCTTCACTCACGGCGGGTGGAGTTTGACAGCTGTCTCGTCGGCTTGCCGTGACGAGCTCGCCGCGAGGACCCCGGGACGGACCGACCGGCCGGATGGGCGAACCGGACGGAGGCAGTTCGGGGGGGTTTTTCTTCGTGTTTCTGAAGCCTTGTGCAGATTCTTTTCTTTTTCTTTCTTCACGCCCGGCCTCCTACTGTCGGCGATTCCTCCTGGCGAATCCCAGAGAATAAGACCCGTCTTTTTCCCCCCCCTCGGAGCGGACATCACGCCGTGGTGTGCGGCGCCGAGGTGTCCGTTTCGACGCGCTGTGGAAGCTGTTCACATTTGGCCTGCTGGCCGGGGGAGGAGGGACCGTACACAGCGGAGGAGAGAAAAGGGCATTTTGTTTAATTAACTAAGTGCTTTGGGGGAAAAACCCTCGTAGCCATTTTACAAAAATAAAGAGACGGACGACTGGAACGGATGACGATGCGTTCGGGTAGTTTACCAAGTGGATGAATTTATGTTCTCGCTCCTTTTCCGCCGGATAAAATACATCTGAGGGATTGGTTGGGGGGGGAGGGGGGGGGGGTGGGGGGTGGATCTGCCACCTCCTGTGTTTTAAATGACAGTTGACTTTCCCCCACTGGTTCAAAATGGGTGTTTAATGATCAGCGGCGGCGCGGCGCTTTGGTCTGGCAGCCACGCCGGCTCTCGTCGCCGAGCCTCTGCCCCCCTCCCCCCCCCCCGTTGTCTGAGGAGAGGCTGCTTCCTGAGTGATGGATCACCGGGGGTCTCTCCGGGGTGCGCGTCAACCCTTTTGGTCGTGTGTCGGACCTCTGGGGGTGGCGGCGGCGGCGGCGCGTGATGGATGTGTCGCCGGGTCTTTAGGCTCCACCTAATCAGGAGATTAGCGCTGACCTGCGAGCCTCTCTCGGAGCGCTAGCATGCGAGGACCCCGTCCCCTGTCCCCCGGGGAGACAAAGATAGTGTTCTTTATTTGGGCGCCTGGCAGCGCGGGTCACAGGAAGTGTGCAGATTAAAGCCTGGGGGGGCTCAGCGTTGGTGTTGGGTGTATCTGACAGGTCATCCGTCTTCCACTGGCGGACGCGCATCCCTCCTCCTCCAAATTCCTAAACACTTAACGTGTCATTACCCTCAAAACTGAGGTTCAGGCCGCGTTCACCTCCTCCGCCGTGTTCACCAATCACATAAACATGCAAATCGCTCCGCTGACGTCGCGTAACGTTGTTACTTCTCACTTAGCATTGAAAATGGAGGAATCGTAAGACGTTTCAGTAAAACGCAGGGCGTGGCCTCCTCTGTCGAGTGCCGTCACATGATCACAAAGAGAGACGCAGTTTCTCTAAAATGATCATAAAAACTCCTGCCACGTTTTGAAGCGCCACATGCCGCCGCGTCTCGCGGCTTCTCGGTGTGTCACCTGGCGATGGGCAGCCGATGTGTTTTCAAGGCGAGGAAGCGTCTTGTCGGGGCGGGGGGGGATTGGCGGCCCTGATTGGCGGGTCGGTGCCACGGGGGACGAGGTGCGCTTGCAGGTTGAGCATCTTATTGCCTTCGGACGGGCGCGGCGCGCGCTCGCAACGTGTCCGTGCGGTCAGCCATCTTGCCCTCGCTCGCGCGCTCCGAGGGGAGAGGGAACCCGCTTTCAGGTTTCATTCCGGTGGCTTCCAGAAGTCATTTTATTGATGGTACTCGGGTTTCACTGAGACGAATTATCACGTTAACCCCCCCCCTTTAGAAAGCCTTGACGTGCTCATCAGCAGCGATCTGCAATCTGTTTATAATTGCTGGTTGTGGAAAAAAGAAGCTAAATATTCCACGTAAATGGCTCGCTGGGCTAAAATAAATAAATGCAAAGGCCTCTGGGAGGGAGGGAGAGAATCAGATGTTGATATTTGAAGAGTTGAGTTGTGATTTTTAATCACTCCACTGCTGAGTTTTAATTAGGATTCATAAGCGTTGTGGACGTACTTAAGAGAGCAATAACTACTTCAGCTTCACAGGTAGGACCAGTAAAACAAGCACAGGTTGGAGCAGAAATACCCCTTTTGAGCCACTTCCCCCCCCCCCCCGTGGAGGCCCGGAGCGTAACGCCGGGGCTCCGTTCTCGCGAGGCGGTGCCACGGGTCGGACTGAGCCGGGGACGTCGATGGGGACGTTTCCGTCCCGCGCTGCCGAGACCCTTTTGTCAGGACGTTTTAATTACGGCGGCGGGTGGAATTGATCTCGGCTTAGAGGGATTTCACTGTCGATGCCAATGAGCCCGTTAATACCGCCGAGCGGACGCTTCCACCGCCGCGCCGACACGCGCGCACACACACACTGCTTCTTCTTCTTGACTTTCCCCTTGGTTCAGCCTGTCTTTTATGCGTAATGGTTAAAATGTGCCCTGGGGGGCGTCATCCATCATCACCTGGGGTGTCCTCCTGCGCCCCCCCACCTTCATGGTTCCCCGTTGTCACCCGAAATCTTTAAATTTTCATAAGGCCGTTAGATAATGCTTCCCGCCGAGGGTGAATTATTGATGTCCTTGTTCGTAGGAGTGGGACAGCGGGACGGGAGGGGGGACGGGGGGACGGGTGGGGGGCTTTTAACTCTCCGAGCTGCTGGTTCTCTTATCCGGTAACTAGGGGACACCGCACAAACACCCGGAGGAATGATGTGCTTGGGGAGGAGGGGGGAGAATGAAAGAAGCTCGCACCCTCCGCGCTGTTCGTCTACAAG